ACTCAGGGAAGTATAGTGGAGTTGGGGTGAAATGTTATTTCCTAAGAACATTTATTTTGCTGATTTGTATTTCTGTAACTATTGTGGTTATTAATTATTATTAATTTGGCATGTCTTAGCTACTAAGTTGGAGTCCCTGGGTGATGCAAATGACTAAGAATTCGGCTACTTAACGAAAGGCTGGCAGTTCAAATCCACCCAGAGGCACCTCAGAAAAAAGGCCTGGTGAACTACTTCCAAAAGGTCACAGCCATGAAAACCCTATAAAGCACAGTTCTACTCTAAAGCACATAGGTCCATGACTCGACGACAACAGGTTTGGTATTTTTTTAACTACTAAATTTATTCAGGTATTTTCGTACTCCATCTCCCACATTGGAGTCTCAAGGCCTCCTTCTCCCACTACTCACCTTCTCCTGGCTCTTCCCTATCCCTGTCCCGGTCCACCACCCCCCAGCACACATATGCACAGTGCGTGATACAACTGACCTCAGATAAAGGAAGTGGCTTGGCTACAGGGACCCCCACCCACTTTATGTTGCCTCTCTTTTAATCATCTGGTGCCCCCAAGTTGTTGATCCTATTCCTGGGCATCATTCACTCTTCACACCATTTCTAGTGTTTTCTTCTGCTTCTATCCAAACTCAATTCCATTCCGTCAGGACCCTGACCTCAGCTCTCCACTGAGTTAACCAGCACTCCAATAAATGAATCCATGCTGTGTTGATGAATGATAGCATGTTAATAAGAAAAAAGAGCTAGCCCACCCCCTTCCTTTTTTTCCTCTTACTTGATAATGTTTCTTCATTTTTACTGTGGTCATCTAAAGCAATGTTTCCAAAATTTTCATCTAGGCCAGAGGAGTAACTCATCACCTAGCATAGTTCCTGGCACATAATAAATCCACTCAAATAAAATACTTATTGAATGAAAGAGTGAATGAATGAATGGGCTCAAATAGTGACTGCGTTTGGCTTTCTAGTAGGATAGAATAGAAGCCAGGCAGCTTAATGACAAGCATATTTTCAAACGATAAGACTTTGCGGTATCATGGTTGACCTTCCTTATAAATGTCCAGCTAGGCCTGCCTCCATATTTGGAAGAGAAAAAATATATATTTCCCACCTAGTTAACCTTCATATTTTTTTTTCCATTTGATTTGGTAATTATTGCTACCAACATAGAGTTTGTCCACCAGTTCTTTAAAAGACATTGAATTAGATTAACAACTTCATGCTCTGGTTCAGATGAAAGAGAGGAAATCTAGTTACCCTCCATCCTTCCCCAACTGCTCTCACCATCTTTTCTTCACCCCCCAGTCTAGTTCTTACACTATCACCCCTAAGCCTCAGAGGCACTGCCAACATTTTGGAAAGACAAAGGAAAAGAAATCTGGAGACACGGTAGCTGCTTAGCCCTTCTTTTCTAGCAGGTTTAGCTTGAAACTTGAAAGAAAATGAAATGTAAGGTAACTTTTTTTTCTTACAAATAATCTCCTTGTTTTTCGTATTTTCTCTCAGACATAAACATGCAGATTTGGCCTGAAGAAAGGCCTACAGAAGCTTTCTTTACTTCTTAACATTGAGGAAAAACAAAAATAAAGGAGAATTGTTTAGTTGTCTAAAAACCAAACCGAACGCATTGCTGTCGAGTCAGTTCTGACTGTTAACGACCCTACAGCACAGAGTAGAATGGCCCCACAGGTTTTCCAAAGAGCAGCTGGTGGATTTGAAATGCCAACATTTTGGTTAGCAGCCATAGCTCTTAAACAGTGCACCACCAGGACTCCTTTAGTTGTCTAGATCCCTATTAAAGTTGCTGTTATTCCTATGAAACCTTGACTGAGTTTGCTGTCTTGGCATAAATGAGAGCAAGACTCTAAGCAAAGAAACTGTAGATGATGACAGAATCAGGTAGTAGATGCTCACGTGCTTCCTTTCCTCTTTTTTATGAAATGTATAAATATATAGGGAAAATAGGGGAAAGGAAGTGTTATGGATTGAATTGTTTCCAAAAAAAAAATATGTGTTGTAAATCCTAACCTCTATGCCTGTGGTTATAATCCCATTTGGGAATAGGTTGTCTTTGTTATATTAATGAGACAGGATTAGTAGAGGGTGTGTCTTGAATCAATCTCTTTTGAGATATAAAAGAGATTAAACAAAGAAGGAGTGAACAGAGGTGGGGTACGATAGATGCCAAGACACATGGAGATCTCCAAGTTGAAGCAGGAAGCAGAAGCTGAAGAAACAAGGACATTCCTCCAGAGCTGAGAGAGAGAGAAAGCCTTCCCCTAGAATCAGCACCCTGAATTTGGACTTCTAGCCTCCTAAACTGTGATAAAATAAGTTTCTGTTTGTTAAAGCCACCCACTTGTGGTATTTCTGTTATAGCAGCACTAGATAACTAAGACAGAATTTGGTACCAGGAGTGGAGTGCTGCTCTAACAGATATCTAAAAGGTGGAAGCAGTGTTGGAATTGGGTATTGGGTAGAAATTGGAGGCCTGGTGGTACAGTGGTTAAGAGCTCAACTGTTACCCAAAAGGTCAGAAGTTCGAATCTACCAGCCGCTCCTTGGAAACCCTATGGGGCAATTCTACTCTGTCCTATAGGTTTGCTATGAGTCGGAATTGACTCGCCGGCAATGGGTTTGGTTTTTGGTTAACAGTAAAACCCTAGATGCCTTGAAGAAACTGTTGGTAGAATTATGGACATCAAAGACAATTCTAGTGAGAGCTCAGAAGGAAGTGAGGAGAACTATAGAGAAACTCTCTTTCATCTTAGAGAATACATATGGTGCCAGCAACAGAATGTTGCTAGAAATGTGGATGTTAACTGTTCTACTGGTGAGGCTTTAAAAGAAAATGATGAACATGTGATTGGACAATGGAGGAAGAGTGATGACATTTATGCAGTAGAAAGAACTTGTCTGAATTATGTTCAGATGTTTGGTGGAAGGCAGAACTTGTAAGTGATGAACTTGGATATCTGACTGAGGAAATTTCTAAGCAAGATCTTAAAGGGGCCTTGTGGTTTCTCCTTGCTGCTTATAGTAAAATGCAAGAGGAAAGAGATGGACTTAAAAATGAACTGTGTGAAATGAAAACAGAACTTAGAGATTTGGAAAATCCTGTTGTACAAACTAAGGAAACATGCCCTAGAATATTCACCAACGACCTGGCTACATAATCTTCTGTTAAAGAGATTCAGCCTGTAACTGGCAGATCTAACCAAGTACCGCAGCAGAAAACCCATCAACTTAGACTGAAGGGGATGGAGAAAGAATGAAAGAAAAGAACAGTGTCTGCCTGTTGGAATTCTACAGGCAGGAAACAGGCCAAAAGAGCTATATCTGTTGTCTTCCAAGAAGAGAAAAGCATCATCCCTGAAGCAGCTCAAAGATCTGCAGAACTGTTGGAAGGAGCGCATGAAGCAGGGCTTTCTCGGTTTCAGTGGGTGGGGCCACAGTCTCCTGGACCTCCTAAAGTAGGGCCACAGCCTCCGAAGTTTCAAAGAGTTCGTTCTTTGCCAACTTGGTTCCAGAGTGTAGGTCTGCTGTTAAGATGTGCCAGGGGGATGGGGCCACTACCCAAAGGTGAGAGGGTGGAGCTGCCATGCCCAAGGGACAGAAGAATAGGGACTACTGGGGCTGATGGGGTGGGGTCACCACTCAGAAGGACTAGACTAGGAGGATGGGGCCACCGAAAGGCAAGGGAGCAGAGTTGCCATCCCAGAGGGCCTGGAAAGCAGAGATAAAGCCCAGGGCCAAGGGGCATCCATCCAGTATCTAGAGGGCATGGCCAACACCCAGAGTCTGGAGGGTGAGGCCATTGCCCAGATGGTCTCAGAAAACAGAGGATTATTTGCAAGCCTTGAGAGCTAAAGTAAATTGTTCTGCTCAGTTTTGGACTTGGTTGGTGCCCTTTATCCCTTCTTCCCCTCCAGTTTATACCATTTGTAATGGAAATGTCTACCTTGTGCCTGTTCCACCATTGTACTTTGGAAACAGATAACTTGTAATCTAGATTTCACAGGTTCACATATAAGAGAATTTTTGCCCCAGGATGGAATACAAAGTCTCACTCATATTTGATTTAGATGATTCAGAAGATGAGATTTTGGACTTGGAGTTGATTTAAGACTTTTGGAAAGATGTGATTGGGTGAATATGTTTTGCATACAGCAAGGACGTGAATTTGGGGGGGGGGCTGGTAAAGGGTGAACTGTTATGGATTTAATTGTATCCCCAAAAATTTGTGTTGTAAATCCTGACCTCTATGCCTGTGGTTATAATCCCATTTGGAAATGGGTTGTCTTTGTTATGTTAATGAGACAGGATTAGTATAGAGTGTGTCTTGAGTCAATCTCTTTTGAGATACAAAAGAGATTAAACAAACAAGGAGTGAGCAGAGATGGGTTAAGAAAGCTGCCAAGACACATGGAGATCTTCAAGGAAGCAGGAAGCAGAAGGTGAAGAAACAAGGTCCTTCCTCAGAGCCAACAGAGACAGAAAGCCTTCCCCTAGAGCCAGCACCCTGAATTTGGACTTCTAGCCTCCTAAACTGTGAGAAAATAAATTTCTGTTTGTTAAAACCACCCACTTGTGGTATTTCTGTAACAGCAGCACTAGCAAACTAAGACAGGAATTTAAGATAGTAAAGTTCTCATTGTGCCAGAATTAAACTTTTGCATCAATGGCAAATGAGCCTTCCCAAATTCTAAAAGGTGTACACCTGCAAATGCTTCTATTCATCTTGTCTGCCAAGAATTGACAATCTTCAGTCATGTTCTGAATGTCTGACCTTTCTATCCTGCTTGAAACAGATGCTACAGCCATGCTAATCACAGCCACCTGTTGTTGCCATGTGTCATGTTGAATTGTGTATATGTAACGCCATTCCGCCATCTTTTCTCCATTCCTCATTTTATCCAAGCATGTAGTGTGCTATTACTCTGCTACTGTATACACTCTGTATACATTTCTGTTCTTCCTTGCAAGACTGTGAATGCTTCGGCCACTCCAATCGATGCAGTTATATCGATCTGCTAAATACAGTCATTTGCGTGAGCTGTAAACACAACACTAGAGGGCAGCACTGTGAGTTATGCAGGCTGGGCTACTTCAGAAATGCTTCTGCACAGCTGGACGATGAGAATGTGTGCATAGGTCAGTTCCATTATGATTTCAGCTATTGTTCTGTGCCTTTCAAGTATGGGGAGCTATTTAGGGTGGAGAGGCTGGTGATTTGCAACAAGGCTGAGCCAAAGTGAACTATCTCAATGGAGCAAACATCCTTGTAGTAGATTTTAAATACATTATCTTGGTTGAAAACATAGTTGGGGGATATATGTTGAATCCTTATGATGTTGTTTTTAAAATGATGATCTGAGAAATTACGTTTAGGAGCCAAGGAATTTTCTTTCTTCCTATCTTTTTCTTTTTTTGCATGAAATCTTAAAACCAGGTAATATCAACCTCATCTTATAATCTTAAGTTTTATGTTCAATTTTAAAAATGAAGAGTCATCATACAGGATTTAATTATGACGATGAGAAACTAGGGTACAAACTTTTGTACATAGTCGATGGTCAGCCAACATTGAATGATTAAAATTTTTGACATTTGGAATTGAAAACCACTGGCAACTGGTAATGTAGAGTAGTTGCCTGCCTATTCCAGTTATAGTATTAAAATTCCATTTATTGAGTTTTCCTATAGCTCCTGAAAAGAGAAGTAATTTCTCAAAACTATGCTAGTCAATCGTCTTAGCTGCCATGGTGCACACGTCCCCTGATGAGTGGTGCTTGTGTGGCCTTGGGAGGACAGGTGCCCTTACCATGCAAAAAGCTTCTCCTACCTTTTGCCTAGTTAAGCATGCCCTTTATAAAGGAATTGAATGGAAAAATAAGAAACAATAAATGGAATTTCACTTTATAATTTACTTTGAAGAAATGTATATATGCGCAATACTGAAGGAAACACGTGTATGTTACCACACCAGTAGGTAGCTATGTAGGCACCCAACTTTAAAGGTAGAAATTTTCACACAGAGATGAATTTAAGACACAGTACACAAGCTGAAAAATGACAGGTGATCTTTTCTGGGATCGTTGTCCTCTAAATTGTCAAAGTCTTATAGGTACTCGGCAAGGGTCACCTGAAATAGCTGTACAAGTTGTTTTGAATTAAATTGTGCCAAGTATACATAATACCATTTATGTAGACAGTATGTCTTATTTTCTTCAAAGCACTTCCTAATTTATTATTTGTGAATTAGTGGAGAAAGCACTGGACTTAGAGGCTGAAGAGCTAGGTCCAAGCTTCTGTGTACTGTTTAATACTGTGTCTTAGGTAAGACATTTGAGCCTCCTGGTCAAATCAGAATCATAGAGAATGCACAGGAAACACTTTGTAGACGTGAACTGACTTGCAAATATGTTGTATTACTTAATCCTCATTAACGAAGCAGTGGGGGTAAGTATTACAATGACAATTGCCCCTATTTTCTAGTTCAGAAAAGTAAGGCAAATTAACCCAAATCATACAGCTTTAGCAAAGGATTTCCTGACTTCAAAATTTGAACACTTTCTACCAACCACCCTGTCACAAAAAGCAAAACAAAGCTTGTTAGGCATTTACTTGTTTTATGCTTTTATGGATGACAGCAGCAATTCCACTATGGGCTTATAAGCAGAAGAAGTTCATTGACTTCATAAAACTTGGTTTATAAAGATTTGAGGAAATTAATAAAAACCAAAAGACATGTAACTATCTGAATTTTGAAGGCAGAGTTGCACTGCAAGGAATGTCATTTGTACAAATACATAAATGTCATGCTATAAATATGGAAATAACAGAAAAAATAAATAGGATACAGCAAACCTCATCATTTTTACAAAATACATGACATTAAAATGTTTTACAATATTTCATATTACTTTAAATATTTTTTTAAAAAGTTCTTTAAGAGAAAAGATTTTATACTATAAAAATTCTCAAGGCAGGTAATTTAACAACATTGCAATTTTATTCAGAGTATTCTATTATGAAGTCTGGCCTTTTTCCAGTCTTAAAGTAATCCATGGACATATTCCTATCCAAGACTAAGTGGCATGGTTCTGCTATAAATCCATGTTCGATTATCCACAGACTAGAAGCCCACTCAGCTTTTATCACTTAAAGCACATCAATAACAGATGTAATATGAAAAGCTTACTAATGTATGTTTTTGTATGTATTTTGAGGTAAAAAAAAATTGAGAGCAATTGTTTTCTCCATTTCTAAAAATTTTGTTAATTCAAAATTATAAATTTTGGGGTATTTTATTTTATCAGAGTAAACGTGTCTATTTAAAATCTTAAAATCAAGTAAAATACTTGGTAAAGACAAAGTTGAGCATGTTTTTAAAAAACCCACCATTGCCTTCGAGTCAATTCCGACTCCTAGTGATGAGCATTTTTAGGCACCATTAAAATTAGCTACATTCCCCAGACACAGCAAAGTTATTTCCTTAAATTCTTGCCCTTTTTCCAAGGGGAAAATTGTTTTTAAAAATTGGAACTAAAACAGCTGGGCTAGCCATGCATAATAAATCTATCTTTTATCTTTAGGCCACATATGCATGAAATGAATTAATAACCATTTTCTAAAGGAGCTGTAGTTTCCACTTTCCCCCACATGAGGAGCTAAGGGCAGAAGTCTTGGGGCTGCTTGGGCGCAAGGTTAAGGCCAGAGTTTGCTCTCTGAGGTTCAGTTAAAGCGTGTGGCTCGATTGCCAAGCTTTGTCCTGTGAGACCCCATGAGCCCATTCACTATTTTCCATACTTAAGCTCCTGAAAGGATTTGAGGAAGGATTGAGAATCAAATTTAAAACGATACACCACAAGTAATTGAGTTAATTTTAATACTATTTTGTATAGAAAGCACTAAGGAAAATGAGTGGATATTTACCCAGTTCACTTTCACAGAATTAGGCACTAGTCTTGGAAACTTTGAACTTAAGTGTTCTTTCAATTAAAAAACAAAACAAAAGTCCCTTTGCCAATTCTTCAGCAATTCCCTATAATCGTGTCCACCACCCTGGCTGTGAAGGGACGGCTCTTCTCTTTGACAAAATATAGGCTCTGTGTTAAAATAGGTGCCTTCAAATACTTGTGTCATTTTATATTATGGCAAATATAAAATGCCACAGTGATTGCTGCTTTGTGATTACTGGTGGATTCACCCATTTTTCATACAAATTCCAAGCACAAGGATGTCTCCAAAGATGCATGTAATTAGCCTGTGATGACGCAGAAATTACATGAAGATGACATCCGTGCATGCTTCTGTTTCATATAAACTCGAGCATTAAGCAGGAAGCTAGAGGATGTGTCGTTCGTGACCTTGGGCAATCACTGCTAATAGTCCCTGCTAACAAGCTTTACATCAGAACGGAAGGCAGCGTTCAGCAATTGCTTCTAAACATATCTCAAAGTTCGGATGCATTATTTTTAATTCTCCTTGAAACTCAAATCAGGTAATTAGAGGTTTCATACAGTACAAAGCAAATTCAAGGCACTCCTAACACCTATAAATCAATGTAGTAGAACTTTTTAATCAAGCCTCCAGAATAATTTCATGTCATTTTTTAGTCTAACAGTCCTACCTGTTCTCCCTAGTTTTATGGAATAAAATATGACCTTCCTAGGTCATCTCCGTAAGGAGCCCTGGTGGCACAATGGTTAAGTACTCTCCTGCTAACCCAAAGGTTGGCGTTTGGAACCCACCAGCCACTCCAAGGCAGTCTGCTCGTAAAGATTTACAGCCTTGGAAACCGTATGGGGCAGTTCTGCTCTGTCCTATAGGGTGGCTATGAGTCAGAATCGACTCTGTGGCAATGGGTTTGGTTTTTTTGGTAGGTCATCTCCACCACTCCAGTATCCATCATTGGCCATAGTACCATAAATGATAGTTTACAAAAAACTGAATTATTTGTATGGAAGGTAGAGCATAGATCACACCTCTCATCATCACTTATTGTCATGACTGAGTAACATAACACATACCACTTTTTCCTAGGACAGTTCCTGAGATGTACTATAGTTTCGATGTTCCACTCTTTTTTTTTTTATTTGTTTGTTTTGTTTTGTTTACATTTTTGCATCTAAAACCTTAGATTAATTAATTGTTATTAACTAATGGACTAGAGTATTGTGTGAACCTCATGTTGGCCAGAGGTAACTCGGCTCCCTGGTTTATCAAATTTTAGTGACTCATTGGCAGTATATGTACACTTTAAATAGTAAGAAACAGTTTTAGTTTTGCAGTTTTGGTATTGATACATATGTATACTACACATATGTACAAACATTTTTAAAGCCATAACAAAATTACTGCTTTTAAATATTTTTAAGACTCCTTCCATACACACTTACCTCCCCGCTGCTGTAGAGTCATTTCTGACTCACAGCGACCCCATAGGGTTTCTGAGGCTGTAAATCTCTACGGAAGCAAACTGCCACGTCTTTCTCACGCGAAGCCGCTGGTGGTTTTGAACTGCCGACCTTTCAGTTAGCAGTCGATCATTTTAGCCACTGTGCCACCAGGGCTCTTTTACACACACACACACACACACACACAGACACACAAAAATAAAAAATGACAGTTTAGAATAAAAGACTAATTATTAAGTCCATTCCAAGCCAAGGGAGGAGGGGAGTGTTTTAGAATTTACTTGGTTTTATTCTCACTTACATATATCACTATTAGTCTTATAAATGGTCAGCAGAAAGCAACACTCAAAAACTGACTTAATCAACCTGAAATAAATCATAATTCTAAGGTGGTCCACTTTCTATAAAGAAATTGTCTATTTAATCTCTATGACAAAAACTGAGCCAAATCCTTGGATCCCCGTATAAAGTTAAACCCCTAACTCTCTATTGCTCATCTATGATGCTTTGATTATATTACCTGAATTCTCAGAGATTCTTTTGATTGGTTAGTATGATTTTGTTTGTTTTTTACCGAGGACACCTCTTAATGGGCTCATATTAAAGTAAAGGAAACTGAGAGACAGAGAGGCATAATAACTTTCCCAAGATTATGCAACGTGGTAACAAGGAAAGGAACTTGGGGCCACAATTCCAAAAAGCTGCAAGCTAGCTGTATACCTTCAAAGGAAGCCTAAGGAATTCCCATTTTTGGTTTAGGCTTTAAGTAAAACAGAGCTCCAGAAGTAAAAAGGCCCTATATAAGAATTCCATTTATGTTTTAGTACACACACTCATATTGTCTGCTAGTAGGCACTATAATGAAACTTAAATGCCTCAGATTATCCCTATATTAAAATTTATTTGGAATTATAAAATTTATTTTTATTTCATGATTGTTAATCTAGGTTGCATAAAATCTGTGCTATTTTGCCTAGCAGATACAACATCTAAAGGCTCCCCACAAACACTTTGTACATAAATAAGTTAAGGTGCTATCCTAAATCATGTAGTAAAACTGCCTTTGAATGAGCAAAGTGCATTCATATTGCACTTTAAAAATGTTCAGCAGTTCTCCAATATTGAGTGGAACAGATAAGCCCATTTGAATAATTAAAACAGAATTTACACTGATGACATATTGATTTATCCCTGATCTACAAACTTCTCATGGTGTTCATTAAATCATCTAGAAACACCCTAACAAATGCAACCTCCATTATGATCTGTTCACAGTTAAGAACATGATGTCTCATTTCCTTGGAAGTTTTCAGTTGACTTCCTCTCGGGTCATAAAAATGATATCTTGGAAGGCTGAGCAAATAAATAAATGGACCTGAAATAGCCATATTTGCCAAAGCATTTCATTACTGGATGTCTTTCTTTAAGTAAGCGATGCATTCAAGTAAGTGACACTCCTGTGTTGATAACCTATACGCCATGCGGACTTATCTCCAGCCTGAGTGTTGTCTTGTTTCTACAGAGTGTTATTGTAACCCTTTGGGCTCAATCCATGACCGTTGTAATGGCTCAGGATTTTGTGAGTGTAAGACTGGAACAACAGGGCCTAAGTGTGATGAGTGTCTGCCGGGAAATTCCTGGCACTACGGCTGTCAACGTAAGTAACTCTGGGAGCTGCCCTTTGCCTACTGCAGCATGGCTGATTGTGCTTGTCTAGGCCGCTGTGTGCAGCTTCTCAGAGCAGAGAAAGACCCAAACTGCTGGCAAGCTTCAAAAGTTAACTAACGCCCCAGCCTATGTATAAGAGAGCAATCCATCAGCTGTCCAGCTGGCTTCATTGAAGCCCATCTTCGTCCCATCTGATGGCTGGAGCAACTTACACTGAAATAGTGTATGCAGATCCATGTACCTGGCCAGACCATAAATTAAGTGACACAATAGGGGACCCAGCTTGGAAAGTCTCACCGCAAAAAAAAGGGTGAAGTAAACGTAGTTAATATATTTCTTGAACTGAAAGCTACCCTGGAGCTCCAGAGTTCATAAATTAAATGATATCTACATAACTTATTACTGCCTTTGCTATCATACCCATCACTGAATCTTAACCAAAAACCTAAAGGTAATAAATCTAAGGGATATTTTAATGCCAGGGTAAAATAAATGACGGAAAGCAATATTGATTTTAAGTCTGTGAGGTTAGGCACTGTGCAGCGAGCCTTAGATGGATGCCATTTGCTTCGGCCTTATTTCTCTGAGGATTATCAGGCCTTCTTCAAAGCTTGTCAAGGCAGGTGGTATGTTGGTGTATACAGGGAACAGAAATTAACAAATCCAAGCAGAAGCTTCCTTCTTTTTTTTTTTCTTTTTCTTTTTAATTCTGCACTAACTTTTCATTCTATCTACAGAGAGTCAGCTTGCTAATATTAAGGGATTGCAAGATACATCCTCTTGAGCAGCGCAGTCCAATGGAAAATAATGCAAGACACATGTAATTTTAGTTTTCCTGTTATCCATACTAAAACAGTAAAAAAGAAATAGGAGAAATTAATGTTAACAACTTATATTGTTAACCCAAAATATCAAACATATTATCAGATCAACATGTCATTATTATCAAAATTTTTAAGGACATATTTTACATTTTTACAAACTGTCTTCGAAATTAGATGTGTGTTTTATACTTGCAGAACATTGCCAATTGGGCCTTGCCATATTGGAAGGCTTAATAGCCACTGTGTCTACCATATCGGACAGCACAGCTCTAGAGTTCGTTCTGCTTACTTTTCACTGAAAAAAAATGTCAGCATGCAGGAACAGTTTAGAGCCAATTTCTACCGGGGCAATACAGAATGCTGTATCTGCTGCCCATAGAATTTATAGTTATCTGGCAGCAGCATGCATTTCTACGTAATGTAAAGACAAAGTGAAATTTATTGTCATACTAATGTCATGGGCAGCAATGATCCGTGGTGATAGGCTGGAAAATTTGGCATTGCACAAGCCAGGGTTAGGATGGGAGGGTGGAAGCACCATGCAGGAGCTGCAGAGGAACATCGGAGACGGTCGCATGGTCAGAAGTCAGGAAGCACACCTGCATGTCAACTCTGGATCCCAGGCCACAAAGGGCAGTCATCACTCATGGGACATCTGGATGCAGGGCCCAGAGCAGGCCAGCAGTCAGGAGGAGGGAAGGAGGGACAGACAGGGGAAGGGCTTAAAGCAGCACTAAGACTCAAGGTGCAAGGTGTGAGACATACGTGACAAACTTCTCAAACAGAAAGTCTCATGTGAACTTTCTGATAGAGCGGGATCTATAACTGGATCCCTAGAGGGTACTCAGAGTGAGACTTTGGAGAGGAAAAGAAATTGATCTAGCCTTAGGGAAAATGTAGCTCCAGAAAAGGCCTGACCCAAATTTTCCATATTAATTACTGGAGTATTATATAAAGTTATAGTGTGAAATTTGGTGAAAATTTTCCCATTTGGAATCAGAAGACTGAATCTATCTGGCCCTACTAGGTAAGAACTGTGTGATGCGCAAATCAGAGCATCCTCTGTGATTTACCTCCAGCACCTCACATACTTATTATGAGGATCCACGCGATCGTGGGAGTAAATGCATCTTTTTCTTTTGAGTATTTATTGAGCACCTACTATGAGTTAGACACTGGGCTGAGGGTAGAGTCTGCAAAGATGAAGGAAGAAAGCTGCTGTGAACATGTGCACATGGAGCTCACAATCTGGAGTGAGAGGTTGGCATGTAGCCAACAATCATGATAGAAAGTAGTCAGAACAAAGGAAGAGGTATGCACATGTTATTAAGAAAGCCAAGACGGGGAGTAAGGCTTCCCAGAAGAGGTGACATTTGAGCTGAGATCTGAAGGAGCTTTCCAGGATGAAACTTCTTGAGAAACGGTGCATAAGCTAACATACTATGTTCAGAAATATCAAGTAATTTTTATATGACTGAGGGATAGGCAGTGTGTGTATGTGTGTGTGTGTGTGTGTGTGTGTGTGTGTGTGTGTTGGAGAGGGAGACAAGATATTGAAAAGAAAGCATGGACCAGATTGGGTGGTCATTCAATGCCAAGCTAAGGAGTTTTATCTCATCAGGTAGTAGGCGGGGGAACCCATGTATGGGATCCATCACATGGTTTTAAGCAGGGGAATGAAAGGATAATATTTGGCTTTAGAAAGATTATTCTGGCTGCTTTGTAAAGGAAGATTGGAAGGGAATGAGACTGGATTTGCTGTATAAATTTAAGAAATTTCAAACACACCTTAGAGTACGCAATAGTTTTTTATCACTAAGAATTTTTTCCTTCCCTCAGACCCACCTGTACAGAACTGATATTCTAGGTTAAAATACTGAAACTCTTCAGTACCACTTGATAAATTGTCCCTACACCAAGATACCCAAGTACCTTCCCCTGGGATCTCTTTGACCACCCCCAAGGTGCAGCAACTAAAGGGATAACACCTATCAAAGTTGGGTGCCTCCAGCACCTCTTCCAGTATTAAAGCATGTGTCCATTCTGATTAGTTGGTACTGGCAGGCTTTTAAATATTTTTCATTTCACCTCTGTGTCCACACTTACATGGATGCACTAAAAATATCTCTAAGGTCAGTTGCTCTACACACAAACACACACACACATTTCTGCTTACCCTGAGTTGAACCCATCCTTGACTTGGCCACATCATTAGTGGCAATGATAATAATCTGTCAGCAAGGAACCAATGCCAAGAAGAAAAGCAGCAGTGGACAAGGACTGACAGTGGCACTGGCAGCAATGACTGGTAGCAGGCAAACATCCAGGCGGGCACTGCTTGCAGTAGGTATCAGAACAGGGTCTTATGCATTCAGGCACAGGACTCATTCCCCCAGTGGACTAACAAGAGAAGCAACATGGAATTGCAGTCTAAAAAGACTTGGGTTTGCAGATAGGCATTAAAGAAAGGGACCCATTTATTGACACTGTCACTTACTACCTATAAATGGAAAGAACAAAGTAAGTATGTACTTGGGCTCTGGAGTCTTATAGACCTGGGTTTGAATCCCATCTCTACCTCTTACAACCTACAAGACTTAAAGGAAATTACTTGAACTCTCTAAGCCTGTTTTATCATCTAAAAATGGGAATAAAAATAAGACATAATACATGTAGTAATGGTGAAGATTCAAGGACAATAATGAATGTGGACTTCATGGTACATAGTAAGCATTCAGTTATTATTAGTTCCAAGCAGATGTTGATGTGCCGATGAACTAGGAGAGATTTCATGTTGAAACGGTTTTGTACAGTGTTAACACAGAATTTGCAGTAAGGTTGGACACTGTTGAAGTAGAAAACTGTTGACCTAGAGCCTTCTGAAAAGCCTCTTGATTAGAGACATGGCTAATTCTAGAGACTGAAGCAAACCTGACCCCAAAAGCAATTGTGTGGCTTCAGCTGGGGGAAATTGGAGAACTCTTGCCTCACCAGCAAACTTTCTGCATGAGGGAGCCACCGATTGTGTGCTCCATAAATGTAACCTGGTCTCTGATATAAAAGGTGAAAACCTTGAAAACCACTAGTATGTGTGGGCTTAAAGACAGCATGGAACAAACAATCCAGGGAAGAAAGAAGAAATAAAGAGATTTCAAGGAGCCATTAGAATCAAAATCAGTGTAGAGGTTGCCCAGTAAAAGAATGACACTTTGGGAAGAAAGAGAAGAGTTTTTTTTAAAATGTGCCCCCTTTGAAATTAGAGAAGAGGCAGGAGCCAAGTCCCAGAGGGTAAAACAGAACCTTCCAGAGAGGAAGCAGCATCCCATGCTTCACGTAAAATACAAAAGGTTAACACGTACACTTGTTGCCAGCACCAAAAGAATGGTGAGAAGGGAGATGCGTGATTTTTCACTTCAGGAGAATGGAAATAGCCACATGTAGAATAGTGAGACTGATGAGGGGATCTTGTCTTCTTGGAGGATGTATATAAGATACACTGGAGTATCCTGCAATGCTTATTAAAACCACCAATTGTTACCCATTTGTACCTAATTGATGTGAATACGAATGGTACTTTCAGAATTTATAATCTGAATGGTTGAGTGAAAGTCAAAGAGTTAAATATTTTGGTTTTGGAAGATAACAGGGCATTTCAGAAGTTGGAACTAAGCACACGTAGGAAGGAGGGGGCTGAGATTCAGCTGTTGGAACATGGCCTATAATATCAGGATGTGGGTTCCTGGAAGGGATCAGAATATGTATTCCCAAGAACAGGAAAGACATGTGTTTCATAGCAGACTCAGTGGCTTGTTCAAGAAGATTTATAATGAAATTTGAGTAGAATATAGGGAATCTACCCTGATAAAACTATAAAACCAGATACTGTGGCTGACCAGTGAGTTGTTGTTGTTAGGTGCCTTCAAGTCAATTTCGCCTCATAGCGACCCCATGTGACAGAGTAGAACACCCCACACAGTGTTTTCTAGGCTGGGATCTTTATGGGAGCAGATCTCCAGGTCTTTCTCCGTTGGAGTGCCTGGGTGGGTTTGAACTGCCAACGTTTTGATTAGCAGCTGAACATTTAACATTTGCGCCCCCGGCTGAAAAGGACAGTAGTTGTTCTCGGGAGAATAAGAGAAAATTCGGGTAACAAAGCTTCACAGCT